GGAAAAGAATTTGCAAAAGCTTGAATTACTAGCACAGATGGTGGAATAAAAAACTGCAAGAGCTTTAAAAAGGGATTTAGCAAATTCCCACCTCAAAAAATTGAGAAATGCTTATGGGAAATTCAATGAGCCTACCAGATAGAGAATAAAATAATCCTTGTGTTTGATATGGTGGCTTTCACATCAGGTTAAAGCGCTTTACAAGATTTTACTGTACAGTGCCTGTATGTTGCAAGTGAAACGCTACAGATCACCTATATAACACAGTGATCCTGCTAAATAATTAGTTGACAATATGGCAGCAATGATCCACAAACTGATTCATTTGTTTAAGGGATGAGTATTGTTTCAAGCTCTCCGAGATGCTATCCCTGGGTGAAGAGCACTATAAATGCAAGTTGTTGCTGTTTTGGGATGTGAAATGCAGCAGAACAAGCATATACAAAATCTTTGAGTTAAAGTGTGATGCAAATCTAACTCTCTACATTAGTAAAATTCAAAACCTTCTGTCCCACACAAAAACATGCCACCAACAGAGCTAAATTAACCCAGTCTTGAATTTAAACATACCAACACAACAGTGACTATTATAGAGAGGCATTTCATAGCTCTAAAATGACAACTCAGATTCACACGTTTATATATGGCAATTTTTCTTTTATTTGTGAATGGAAGTTTGACTTTGTCCTTTTCATACTTTAGTGGTTTGAAAGGACTGCAGAGTTTTGAAATTCCTGCACTTTTGTTTTCCTAAGACAGGCAAGTAACTTGGCTGAACAAGTAAGATCAAACCAGCAGGTCTATAAGTATTCAACAGCAGCCAGCTGACTGTGCTCATATTCTTCAAGTGTGAACAATTTAAACCTGCAATCTGTGGTCTGGAGTTTAATTTATGAACTGTGGTTGAGACAGTAAGATAGGATTGAATAATTAATAGCTAGAGAAAGAAATGTAAGCAATATTCCCCATAAAAAACTATAGATTAAAACTTCTATGTTGCATCAATTTTATATTTCACTTGACAAACAGTTCAACAGTAGATCACAACACTTATCTTTCAGGTGGTAGATGCAACATTATTTCAGTGCAATTTAAACACAGAATTATCGTACATTACCATCTGAGCGAGCCGTCTAAATTACTGTCTACAGATAGTTAGGATGGTAATGTGAAATAACTGGTGGGCTGGTTCATTTTGATTTCTCCAAATTTTCCTTCATTAAGATGTCCCTCTTGCAAGTGTCAAATGATAGTACAGTCAAGAGGACCTGGGTTCGATTCCTGGGTGGGACAAAATCTTACGAAAGTTTTCTTATTCCACACACCGGTTACCTAGCAGTAAGTAGAAAACTGGTTGTTAGTCGATTGGTGGATCGCTTTTCGTGGGTAATAATCCCTCAAATAAAATGTGGTCACTCACTCCACGACTGTTTGTGGGACACTGCTGTGCACAATTGGCTGCTGCGTTTCACCAACAAAACGTACAGTCAATCCACTTTGCAATATTCTGTGAATATTCTTTGATCGTCTGAATGATGTGATGAGGTGCTAGATCAAATGCAAGGATTATTATTATAGAATTACACAATTTCACTTCTGGAATTTAGTCATCAATATAGTCATGATTAAAAAACTGTAAAGGATTAGGTCCTTAAATTGTATACTTTTAACAAATGCTCCATTTTGGCAACAAGATTTCACTTCATAATCCAATCAATATCACTTTTCACAGCTTTTTTTTGCTATAACATGCTCCTCTGTGCCAGTGGGCACAATTACCTGGAAATCACACCAGCTGCCGACTGCTGCGTGGACTCCAGATCATGGACAGTCAGCAGGCTTGCAACCATTGTTCATGGCCGTGGACTGTAACAGCCTGGCTAGGGTAAACAGCCATCCGTAGATAGGTATCTTGTGCCTTTCAGGAGGTCCCATTGCTGTGAGACAAGAAGATAAGTAAGCATCGATATGCAGAATGTGATGTTACACTTACAGTAGGTATACAACAATTAAAGAGACAATAAATATCCCCTTGTTGCCCTACAGTAGGTAGGAACATTCTCAAAATATACAACCTGGGAGAATTCTTCTCCCCATTATCCTCCCTATGTTGTTGGGATCACATGCAAGATTGACTGCAATCCTTTCATATGCATGTAAAAGTATTTAGACATTTAAAACACTGTAAATGTACAAAGCATAAAAAAACTGATTACAAACTCTGATTAGCGAAAAAAAACATTTACATGGGCTATTGAAAGCTTGATGAAAAGTCACCTGTCTCCAGAAGGCAGTTCTAACAAAATGGAGCAGCAGATAGATCATCAGGATTTCTCTAATTGGCTTCCTGTTTCAATTTCATACACTTACTTACAGCTCAGCAGAGTATTATTGCAAAATATGTACTCAACACCCCAAGACAGATTGCTAGCTGAGATGAACTGCATCAATGCAAACAGTCACTCTGAACACTATATGGGATATAAATTTTTATCTCTCATCGAAAAGACATCACTTCTACCAGTGCTGCTTGCCCTCTCAGTAATACACTGGATCATCACTCAGTTATGCTTTCAGTTAAGTCCCAGTGTAGGTTTAAAACCACACCTAATGACTCACCAACTAAAGACTGGACACATAAAAGAAAAACTAAATATGAAAGTGTGGGCATATCCATTCAATGGAAAGACCATTTTTTCTCTTCACTCATGTTTTGGGATCCAGTTAAGTTGAGGACAGGAAGCCATCCACACATCCAGAACACTAATTCTAAACCCGATCTTGAGAAATTTTCTCAATAAGGGTTTGAAATGAGTAGAAAAAGGTTTCAGTGAAGACATTAGCATTATTATTAATTATTATTACTGGGAATGTGGCAAGATATCACTCTAGGTCTTTGGCATGTCCAATGGCAAAAATCAATCACTTTTAATTTTTTAAAAAATGCACCAGATCTCAAATTGCTCAATACCAAAAGCCAGGAACTCTAAAATGCTTTTCCTTCTCCGTTCTTACAAATCAACAAACATCGACAGCTGCACAGAAAACATCTAAAGAAACTTATAACAGAACACTATTGCTCAGATCAAGAACGGGGAAGAACAAATAAAGCCACCGCGAAAGTTGAATTTCGAATAAAGTTTACTTTATACATAATATTCAACTTCTACGAACCCTAGCTTACAAGCTTCCTGGTTGGCATCTATATACTGCACTCCTCCATAAGACATTTTGACAGCTGTTTTTTTTTTTATTCATCGTGTACAGATAAAGACAGAAACTTATAAAGCTGACAGGTTTATTTTACAAGATTAGTGAATTCTGTGTCCTACACAAACGAGGGGGGGGAAAGAAATCAGTGCTTTCCGACAGACCTGGTGAAATTCAGAGTTCTGACTGGAAACGGGGCACTGGATAAGAATTCACGAGTCTATGCTTTCAAACGGCGAGTCTTTAGTCAGACCCCGGGGGCTTGAGTTATCTTCCAACCTATTGTACAGGTCTTCAAAGTTCCTCTTTAGAAACGTCTCTGTTCTGTCTAAATCTCTCTCGGACGAACAATAGTGTTCGGAAGCACTTTGTGACAAATGTCCGCGCTCGCCCTGCCCGAGAGACTCGGCGTTCGCTCGCTCAAAGCTTCCTCGAGAGTATTCGAAGTAAGACAGATAGTCCAACATGCTATCCCCCTCCCAGTGTTTGGGGCACTGTGCAGCCGCTTGCCTTTTGAGCTCTTGGTACTTTTCATGCATTAGGAACTGTGTGGTGTTCTTTGGCGCTCTCATACCTGGTGCCCTTTTGCCATTCAAATTAACAGGCCTCAGCAAGGCTCCGAGCTCAGGGCGGTGGGATCTTCCTCTCCCGTACCTGCCCCGTTGTTGCTGCTGTTGCTGCTGCTGCGGTGGCGGCGGCGGTTTCCTCTGCCGCCATTTCTTCTGGTGGGCACAGCAGCCCCGGGAGCGGTAGGCTCTGGGCTGCTTCTGACGGGGGTGCCCACGCCTGCAGCCGCTGCTCACGGCCACCTCGCCCTCCATGAAAGTCTTCCCGGCGAACGGCCCGGACTCCCGGTCAGAAAGCAGGCGGACAGGTCATTAAAAAAAAAGGTGGTGGGGAGGCGGGGGGGGGGGGGAAAGGGAGGGGAGTCCCCAGCGAAGCACGTCACCGAGCCGGGGCCCGGCCGACCGAGCGACCGAGCCGACGACCTCTATTCCTTCCAAAAAAGGGGGAGTTTATTATCAGGGACTCGGACGAGGTGAAGCAGACAACGCCGAGAGCTGAGGAGGGGGGAAGAGAGGGGGGACTATCAGCGGGATAGCAGCTGCACTTCGGCTTCTCTCCCTCTCTCTCCCTCTCTCTCTGTCGCTCGTTTCCCCCCTGAGCCGCGAGGCCCCTCTTCGCCGCCTCCCCTCAAACTTTCAAACCTCTTCAAACGGTTTTTTTTTTTTTTCGCGGTCTTCGAAAGGAGCTGCAAACCCGGTCGCGGTTATGAGGCGAGGGCGGTGCGGTGCGGCGAGGGGGTGGTGGGGGGGGTCGCGTTAGATGGAGAGAGCCGAGGAAACCTCCCCACAGCTGCTGGGCCTGTCAGCCTTCACTCGCTCTCGCTCTCTCTCTCTCTCTCGCGGACGGCGGGGCGGGCACATACAGTGCAGTAGTGTTTGACAACCAGAGTCACCAAACCCCTCCCCTCCCTCCCGCCCCCCCCCAACGCTTGGCTCTTTCTCGCCGGTACCAACTGACGCCCGGGGCTGCTGGAAACGTCCTTTATATATGGCCCCGCCCCGCCGCCCGAGGCGAGGCCGTTGCCACGGTAACCGTTGCCGGCCCGGGAGTGGTGGCGAGGGAGGGTGGGCGGGGTGGGGAGAGAGGGGGGGTTGGGCTGCTGTCCGGGCAACGACCATTCAGCGGGCGCCTTTCCCGGCACGTGACTGACAGCACAAAAGTGCCCGGATGATGGCGACCGTTGAAGCGGAGCACGTCACGTGCCGGGCGGGCGGGCGGGCGTCACGTGGGTAGTTTGCGTCTCCCTCCGCCACCCCGACAGGGGCTCGAGCCGGTGCAGCGGGTGAGTCCCATCTCTGCTGCCGACGGAAGAGCAGTTCAGCAGCTGTGCAGAGAGTTGTCTACAACTTTTTTTTTATCGAGGGGGGTGGGTGGGGGAGGGTTAATAATCCTTCAAAAAATTAACCGTAATAATCTGTTCGGCTTCAATCCGTTGGCGCCCGCGTTTCGCCCTCAAAAATACGCGGTCGCCACACTTCACGGTATGTTCTGAGAAGCGCTCTGGAGACGTCTCGAAGAGGCGCTAAGGCGTGATATCAAATCGCGAGGATTATTCTTATCATTATCTTTTATTGTCTTTTTCGTATCACCCGCTCGCTGCCTCCCGAGGAGAAGTTTGGTGTAGACGTCCCACATATCAATAATAATAATAATAATAATAATAATCCTCGCATTTGATACAGCGCCTTATCGCGTCTTTGAGATGTCTGAAAAGCGCTTCACAGAATGTACTGTAAAGTGAATTGGACCTATTTAATCAACCGCCTCCACTTCGTCTCGGCAAATGGTTTCTCCTCCCGCCCCCCCGCCCGGTCACCTGAGGGGGGTACCCGGGGCTCCATCCTCGGCTCTCTTCTTTCCCTTATCTGTAACGCTCCCTCTGGGCGACGTCATCCGCAGACACAGAGTAAGCATCTGCCTTGTATGTGGATGACACACAAATCTACTTGGCCTCCTCCAGTACCAACTCCAGGTCTGCCGCTGTTCTGTCAGCTTGTCCGGCAGACATCGCGACCTGGATGAGTGCAAACGTCCTGCAGCCGAATGTGAACAAGATGGAAGCTGTACTCCTTCGCTCCCATCAACGCCTTCACTCCTGTGGATCTAAACTCTAAACCCAATGTGCAATCTAGGTGTCCGGTTTGATTCCCAGCTGTCTTTTCTTCCCCACGTATGGTCGGAAGCAGGCAATGTGATGGAGGTGGAGGAAAGCGTCCTGTTCAGGGACCGGACGTGGGGAAGCTGGGGGTCGAACCGGTCGTCTAGATTGTACACTGCTTCGAAGAGTCTGAGGGAGAATGAGGGGTTTAGATCCACAGGAGTTAAGAGGTTGACAGGAGCCAAGGAGTACGGCTTCTGGTCCACATTCAGCTGCAGGAAGTTTGCATTCATCCAGGCCCTGATGTCTGTAAGATCACGCTTACGGTCACCTTCCCCTCTGGCTCGGAGTCAGGCTCTGCCACCGTTAAGTGCTCTGAGACGCTACCCTGTATGTAGGGCGCCATGTAAGTGTTAAGTAATTATAGACTCACCCATCGTGTCTGCGCTGGCTCTTTGAAAAGAGCTATCTGATTCAATCCCTCTCCCCCACTCTCTCCCCATAGCCCTGTAAACTTGTCCTCCCCAAATAATTATCTACCCTCTTAAAAGTTATTATCGAATCAGCTTCCACCACCCTTTCAGTTGTCGAATATTTTGTGGGCAAAACATACAGCCAGACCCACTTGATTCCTTGCAGGCCTGGCTGCCTTTAACTAAACACAGTCATCACTTACCTAACACCCCCTTCCCAACAACACAGAAACTCTTATGTCCTTTCTCCATCTCATTGTGCACCAAATCTATTTTCTTTAATTTCAAATGGCCTCAGAGGCACCGGGATACCGTATTTTCACGACATTAGATGCCCCCAGTGACTGTTATTGGATCCAATAATCGTCCTTGCATTTGATATAGTGCCTTTCATGTCAGGAGGTTGTCTCAAAGTGCTTCACAATATTTTCTGCAAAGTGCAGTAACTGTATTTTGTAGACGAATTTGTAGTTGTCTTCCGTTGTTAATGTGACTCTTTTGTAACAAATTAGGGGCTATCATTAGACAGTTATTGTATCAAAATAATGCCCCAATGAGGTAGTTCAGCAGTGTACACTAAGATTAAGCAGGAAATTTGGAGTACCAAATGAACCAGTATTGCATTATTTACTGTATCTGATACTTCTGATTGTCAACTAGAACTGAAAAGATGCCAATCCATTCTGCAATCAATGGAACCACCTGTCACTACACACAATACAAACCTGTTTGTTGTAATAACAAAATAATAATCCTTACATTTGCTGCAGCACCATTTACTGATCGAATTGCCTTTTACCTATTGGGCTGCAATAATATTTCATCTCCAATATACTTTTGATATCTTAACACTCCCAATATGCTGTGCTACTATATGGTAGGATGTCTTTTTATACCAAGATTCCACACATCAAGTAAAAGCAATATGGATCAGGTGGGGAGAGGAAATAATAGATTGTTTCTCTATTTACTGCTTTGCATATTCCGATTTTCTGTGTCGTCTCTTTGCTTTTCCCAAATTCATCCCTCTGCCTTTTTCCAGACATGTGATTGTTGAAAAATAGACTTCTTACTGGTTCTGACGTTTAGACAAAATGGGGGTGGACTGTTACCACTGTACAATATCTGCATTAAAACTATGACATTCAGCTATTTAATGAAGTTCTTTCTGATTCCTTTGGGAAAGAGAGCATTGTAAGCCACCTGAACAGTCATGAGATTTTTTTTCTTCCTAGGAATTTTCAGGGAATGATAGCACATTTTAATGGAATTAGTGGGGCCATTTGGGTATCGGCCTGCCTCACATTGGGTCTTTGAACTCAAAATTACAGCTTACATATGCAGCACTAGGAATGTTTAATAAATCCCAAGATTATAAGAGAGGCTTGAACGAACAAGGCCTTGTTGTTCTCCAGTCCCTCTCCAATTGAAACAAACATGGTAACCTTATTTTAAAGCTATCATGAAAATGTGTGTACAAAGTCTGGTAATCATTCCTTGCTATTGAGAGGACTTTACACTAGAAATACTCCTTTGGCTGATGCTCCAGTGGAGTGCTGGGGGAGTTCTGTATTTTGGGGTAATGTCCTTCTGATGGGATATTAAACTGAGGTCCTTTCTGCTTGTTCAGGTGGATGGTAAAGTTCCCATATTACTATTTGAAAGAGGAGTTTCTCTTTGTGTTATTAATTCAAATTGAGACCAAAAATCCCAAATATCTGAATTCAGCATTATTTGCAATGTGCAGGTTGACACGTGTGCAAAACATTGACCTTATTTTAGGTTTTTAAAGACCTGGTTCTGTGACTGGCTTGTTTATAATTCTAAAAACATGTGTGTTGGAAGCTCCCGAGTAGTTCATGGGATGATCTGAAAGCTTTCAATGGCTCATAGGGAACGAAGACAGTGTGCATCATACATGTGTGTATGTGCAATCTGTCAAATAACCCATCAAAATACAGTGCAAAAACACGATGGGTGTAAATATTGCTGATGATTTATTCTGTTCAAAACAATCTTTAAATTGTATAACATTGCCTGTGGGTGCCAGATTGAGTACTGCTGTTTACATATGATCAGGGATTTACAAAGCACCAGCCCCTGAAAATCTAAATTATATCACTTTGGGGCACACCTCGGAACACTCCTTAACAAATGGGTACAAACTATCCTAATCGATTAGGAAACTATTACCAGTCATGTGTTAAATATGCATTCAGTGTTGTCGGTAGAATGTAACTACATTAATGTTTTTTAAAAAAAATCTCTTCAATAGTTGGAAGGAGTACTTTGAGTGGAAAGCAATCTCAATAAAAAGGAAGACTATGTTCAAACATTTCCATAATAGCTTAAGGTAAGGTTAAACCACGTTTCTTTTTTAGATTGGAGAGGGAGTTGAGATCAAATGGGCCGAATGGCCTTGTTCGTCTGAGTTTCTCTTGTGACGAATCTTGTGATTTATCAAACGTTCCTAGTTCTGTTTGTGTAAGACGTCATTTTGAAGCCTCCATTGCGCAAAACACTAGTTTTCTTCCAGGAAGCAATCAATATTTATCAAATACATCTTACATTCACATAATTTTTTTTTGTTTTACCTCATATTAAAATATATAATCTAATTCTAGAGATCAGTTACTGAGGTCCCTCCACTGAGCAGAACTGCAGTTTAAAACAATTGCCTGCAGGCGGTGGTGTTGTCACGAAAACCAGAACTTGAGATCCGCTACTCACCCCGAGCTCTAAAGATGTTTAGAAGATTACCGTATACCCAAATCAGGAAAGGATTTTTTCCAAAACAATTTAGTTTCTTCAAAATCAAAGGCATAATATTATTAATAATAATAATCCTTGCGTTTGACGTAGTGCCTTATCACGTCTCAAAGCGCTTCACAGAATATATGGTAAAGTGTTGTGGTAAAGGTCTATTTTGTGGCCGAAACGAGGCAGCCAATTGTGTCAAGTTCTGATCTGAAATAATCTAAAGTAATGTGGATTGGACGTAGTTCCCTCTTATAGTTCCTGCTCAGGCCTTGGGACATGTTTTCGGAGAAGGGAGAATGAGTCAATCATGCTGCTCTCATGCACCTCCTCATGGTGATTTTAAATTAGCATTAATAGGGGAATGATTTATATGCTGGATGTTAAATGTCTGGTACACATTCTTTATAATTCCTACTTTTGGAGAATATTTGTGTTTGTTTATTTGGAGGATGTTCTTGTGATCAGAATGTGTTTGACATGTCACAGCGCTTACATTTCCATCACCACATTAGAGATATTAACTGTCAGGATGAGAATGCCCTGTTTGGTGCTAATTAGAGCTAAATTTTACTATGTTTTATGCTAATTTTAAGCGTTACACTGTGCACTTGCACACACTGTAAACTACATCTAAAATACTAAATATCATTTATTTTGGATTGCTGCACATTACAGAGGGGAAATTGTTGCATTCATCCAGGCTGATTTGAAATCCAAGTACAAGAGATGAAAGGATAGCATTCTAACTGAATACATTACGCCATTCATTATCTTCTGGTATAGTAAGAAATAAAGTGAAAATGACATGGGAGTTCAGTGGCTTGAAGATTGTAAAAGCTTATCTGTATTTGTCCTTGAAATTTGTGATAAACTGGTTCCATTATTCTGTTGTTTCCCTTATAAATGTTAGGCCAAGCAGACAGACATTTCAGGTGCCATTACCAACTTACTAAATAACCTCATGGGTACAGTACTTCATTTTGAAATTTTGACCAAAGAAAAATGTTTTCAGTATATTTTTCTACACAATTTTCTGGAACAAAAGTCTGCTGAAAATTATTGTATATGGGTAGAGGATGGAATCATTGCACTTATTTCAAAAAGTTAAACATCAGTATTTAAGTCTCCAGAAGTTAGCTATAGGGCTTCAGTTATTGACATTTCTGGGATGTTAATGCATCTTAATGCAAAGTGGAAAATGGTGATCTTGTGTTATTTTTGGAAATAGGAATGTTGTTAGTTAATTAAATAATATGAACATGATGATGAATGATATCCTACAGCCAGGTTTACACACTTAATGAAAAAGCCATAAAAGGATTTTATTCTGTATTTATTTATGAGATGAAAAGAGTTAGGCTATTGTTGCCTTACTGCTTTGATTCAAACTATAATTATGGGAAATAACTAAGTGAAGTCTAAAAGGTTAAATATATCCGAACAATTTAATTAATGTCAATAAACGATGGCACTACATTTGACATTTTAAAGTGTATTGTACATCAGTAAACTTGTGAACTAAAATTCCACCTGGGTCTAAATTACTCTTCATAGCATTTTAAAGCATCCAGAATTTGACAAATTCTTTTCAAAAAAAAAAACCTGATTTTGAAACCGGTTTTCTTTTAAGAGCTATAGAAAACTGTGTTCAAAGTTTAGACTGAGTTCAACAATTTGCCAAATTTTGGATGCTTTAAAAGGCTACGTAAATAGGGTATATCTAGATCGAGGTAGAATTTCTCTTCTGGGACTCTAGAGTTTAATAAAAAGTTACATTTGTATATATAAAAATAAAATAAAAATAAAAATTTATAAAAATGCCAAAAACAGAAGCATATGAAAATTATTTGTCTATTATTCCCTCAGTTCAGGTAGAGTTAATCCCTTTGTCTCACCATTTGGCTATTAGTAATCCTTTTTGCCTTCCCTGACCTGTTGTGTACATGAGTTCTTTTAATATTAAGAGACTTTTAAAATAAACTATTAATGAAATATTTATTGTTGCTCCAAGTACAATTGTATATAATGGTTACAAGGCAGGTTGAAATAACTGGGTCTACTATTAGACCCATTAATGATACAAAATGCTGCAAAGCCCTGAAAAAGCAACATAAATTGCTCTGTTCTATTGAAGCAAGATCACGATAACTTAAAACATGAAATAAGTTGAAATTATTTGATGGAGCATATAGCTTAACAAGTAATCAATTTATTGATCAAATCACATTTATTTTAAATTGGCAAAATCAGTACACAATTGATTCCAGAGCATTTGCTTAAAACATTTACAACTTTTATATTTTTTCCCTTCGTTACTTGACATTTCAAATGTAATTATTTCGAGCCATTTCTTTTATTTACTAGTTTAGTAAATGCAAGGGACAATTTTTTTGGTGTTTCTTGAAACATCCAAATGAAAACTCCTTCTAATACAGTCAAACCTGTTCAAGTAACCACCTCCATTCATCAACTATCCCTATTACTAACCACCTGGGACAGCCCCTTCAGGAAGCGTTCACACAGCAACGAACTCATACTCAAATGGTCATCCTTCTATGAAGGCTACTTTGGCCCAGTCCCTTGAGAGGTTGTTGAAGACATGTTTGAATGTAACTAGAAGTGTATCATTCACATTATTCTGACTAGAGAAAAATCTGCTCCAAAAATAGATGGAGTTGGAGCAGCATTCTCAAAAGCCTGCGCCATTGAAGTCCGGATTTCTTAATTAATAAATCTGTTAAGAAATGACACAAAATCAACCCCACTATTTGCGTGCCTGCAGTCGTATTTAAACGAGTCTGTCTATGTTTCCTTTAAAGAAGGGGATTTGCCTTAAATAAAACATAAGCATATAATAAAAGGCCTTTGATTGTCGTCATATAGTTTTTGAGTGAACTGTAAACAAAATACAGATCTTTTTAATAAGTTCCAACGGGCATATGAAGAAGACAAATGTAGGCTTGTGGTGTTTTGCTTAGATTAATAGGATTTCCATCCAGTCGAATGTCCTGCAGAGGCTTGCGAACATAGTTTATATCCTTTGAATTACAGAAAGTGTCATCGTTGATGTGCTGAATGTTGTTGTTCTGGAAAACATCATAAGATAGTAAATTAATACACTTGTGTTATGTAACACAGCTAAAAAGAAACAAACGGACAAATACAGACCATGAAATGTATTGTATCAAAAGAGGATTTGCACAGGCTAAAACAGGCTTCTTTCTCAAGACGAGAGAATCAAAATAAATACCCTCATGATTGCAGAATTGTTTGCTAGAGCTACTTTTATTTTTGTGTTTATTGGTTTGCTGATTTAGTGTCCCTAGCCCTCTAGATCATTATCACAACTGTGTTTTTAATCTATACTCTTATGTATCGTGTTAAGTTAAATTTGGTCGTTGTAGCAAGAAAGTTCATTCATTCAAGAGTTCACTAAGAAAAACAATCTAAGGAAGATGATCTTGATAATTTTCATTTCCCACATCTGCCATTTGTGCCAATTCAATGTCAGTTTTGACGCTGAATTCATGTTCACTGGGAACTGGTTTGATGCTATCACAAATCTTCACTTAAAATCCTTAATCCCAACAGCCAACAAAAGGTTAACTTGTGTTTTTCCCCATTATCTGAAACATTCAAGCACATTTCTGTATTTAACACCCATCAAAGCTGTGTTGTGGTACAATAAACATTTAATATTTTCAATTGATAAACTTGCTGAGTAGAAAGTACTCAAACAAATTGCAGAGCAAAGTTGTTCTTGGGAGTGCAATCTGCAATCAATCTTGGCAATTGGCAACTGGCATCATGGACAAAAATAAAGTGGTCTTGTTCAGAGGGACATTTTGTTCCTGCATTGCCCCTCTATTATTTCTCTTTGTGTTGTATCTCTACATTATTTCTATCTGCATTCTCTCGCTCTCTCGTCATGTGCCTTGTCATTTGCTTCCACCTTAGGCCAAAATTATAGGTTTCTAAATAAACATGTCCAAACTGTCCGATTACATCTTCTTATTTGGCATTTTCCACAGTAAATATTTCTATTTTTGGTGTTGGGGGAATTGGGTGTTACTAAATGATTTACTCTAAATGCACATACAATATATGGATAATCTGGCTTTTACCTGTAGGTGAACTGAGCGAAGACCATCTGGTAGAGGAAGTGGGACATAGTCCAGTTCGTTGTCAGACAGAAACAAGTAAGCAAGGTTAGCCATGTCCTGTTAAATACAAGAAATGAAAAAAAACTGAGAAATAAACATTGATCAATTAGTGCATCACAGCAGCCGAACATGCATTAATGTGTACTTACAAGTGCAAGAAGGATTAAAAATGACAAAGAATTTTTTAGTCGGTATCCAAATGATAATTTTAACCCTTAGCTTTCCTTTGGCTTCAAATTTCAGAAAATAGTTTTGCTTCAGGAAACATTGTCATGAAGGTAAATTATAAAGTCAAGTTTTTGATCTCACTTAACACTAAACAAACATTCTGACTGATGTTTATATAAGAAAAGGAATGGACAAAGAACAAAGAGATTGCATAAAAAAAGTTAAAAAAAAACCTGGCAATAATATTTGAAAATAATCCACATAATTCCCAAACAGACATTAACTCTAATGTTGTAATACTTCTTACTTTGAATGTCTCTTTCTTTATTCCATTGCTGTGCAGCTTGTTGTGACTCACGTCAATGCTGACCATAGTATTGGGGAGTTCTGGGACCTGCGCAATCTCATTCGAAGCTACGGTCAGTTCCACCAGTTCAGGCAGCAGCCTGAAGGAATCTTCATCAATTGAAGAAATTTTATTGCCGGTCACATCAATCCTCTTTAAATTATCTAAAATGAAAGTAATAATATAATTAAACTACTTTACTTTGCGGAATAAATGTTAAAACATTTCTCCATGGAATAGTTACAAATTTCCAGCCCAGTGGTGTAATGCACAGTTAGCTATTTAGTACAGTATTAATATCCTGTGGCAATACAATACAATATGAATTTTCATACATTATACAGTGCCTTTCAAGTCTGGAGGCCGTCCTAAGACGCTTAATGATACTGGTTTGGTCCCTTATCTAGGGGTAGTAGCTGCGGGAAATGTGGAGGGCAAATATGAAGGAAAGCATGATCAAAGAGGTAGGTCTTGAGATGGACCTTGAACGAGGTAAGGAGGGGAGCAAGTTGGAGGGTCTCTGGGTTGTTGTTTCAGAGAGTGGCAACAGATAGGGTGAAAGCAAACCTTGGTGGGTGAGTGGGGCAGGTCACAAAGCAGCCTTTGTGTCTGAGCAAATGGAGCAGCTGGAGCTGTAGGGTTTGAGGAAGTTCCAAATGCTGCCCCAAACTGGGCAAGTCAATCACAAATTATATAATTTGGGAGAAATTCCACCTGGGTCTCGATTTCCTCTATTTATGTAGCATTTTAGAGCTTCCAGAATTAGGTGAATTGTTGAATTCAAATTAACTTGGAAGTTATTTTTTCTGTAGTTATTAAAAGAGCGTTAAGAAAATTGGCTTCAAAATTAAGGTTGTATTTAAGAATTTGCCAAATTCTGGATGCTCTGCCATGTTACATAGAGTAAATCTAGACTTGGGTAGAATTTCTACCTCACATTATCTAGTTACCAGAACGTTATATAAAAATCACAGAACAATATCTTCACTGAAATAATTGTCTCTCAGTGAAATTGAAAATATTTTCCTTCTTGTTAGATAACTGTAAACCTTCTTATTGAGAAAGATGAGTGATAATGCAGTACACTTGGTTAAAATTATAAAAAAAACTCAAGCCAACAGTTTCATACTTAGCCCTGCAAAGTCTTGTTTTCTTATCTTAGTGAGCTTGTTAAAACGTGCGTAGAAGTGAGTGGTCTCCTTAGGAAGAGGAGGTATGCTTTCAATGTCTGTATCATCACAGTAGACAGATCCACCCAGACATGTACACAGAAGGCATGTTGGAAGCCCTAAAAGGAAATGTGAGAAAACAATTAATTATTGTGTTAAAGAAATGATCTTATGATTAGACTATACCTTTTACTTTAATGATATTAGTTTGTAGAGACAGGATTGCAGCTCATCATCTACAATACTCTGGGTAGCATTTCCAACTATAATCAGTCGGTAAAAGCATCACATAAGTTTAATGATGATATCCTCTCATGGTGCCCAAAGGACAAAAGCCACTCCAATGATTTCGAAAAACCATTAAATTATTCCCTCAAACATCTCCACAGTCCCAACTTTTCAAGTTTCTATTATTACAAGTTGACATTCATTATATCACCGGGTCAGTCTCCTTTGTACTCTCTCCACGATCTAACTGAGCATCAACTGCTTTGCTTGGACTGTTTCATATACTATTTGCAACCTTCTATGTGAAAACAAAATCTGAGACTTGATATTCCTATTATTCTTAGTCAGTAAGACTACTTTGTCTTATAATTTAAGATTGTGGAATGCAATGTGGAAAGTAGCCTAATTATTTCTATGATTTGCAAGGGACAAATACGAGGAATGCTATCTGTGCGACATCTGTACATTCATTTTTCGGTCATTTTTTACCGCTCATATCCAGTTTCAGCGTCTATTGGAATATTCTAACAGATGGTAAGTCTATAAATATTAATTTTTGTGCTGTGTGAGATATTCAGTTTGAACGCTATTCTAAATGTGCCTCAGAGACATGTAGTCTGAAACTTTTATGCAATTTAATACGTTTGTATACTTTTTGTCTGCTGTGGTTGGAGCACAGACACCAGAAAGTCACACTTTAGGTGGAGCATTGGGCAAGAGTGAACCTTTCAGCAGCCAAAATTGTAATGGAGGGCTTACAAAGGGATTCTGTCTGCTCTAGTAAATAACCTGTCACTCAGAAGTCGTACAGCATTAAAATACTGCTGCAAATAACTAATTTATTTGTAAGTAAGTTGCATCTACATATGTCTCATATTTAAGATTTTGTAGTACACGGTAACATATGGCAAGTCTCCAAAATTTCAACAAATGCAGGTACTGAAAAGAATGCTGACTGTTAGCTGTACAAACCTTCCTTTGATTCAGGGCCAAGAAGACCAGGCACACTTGGTGCACCGGGATCCAAAGGTTCGTGGGGAATCAGCTCCTCATAATCATCTTCTTCGATAAGAAACTCGCTGTTACCAGAAGGCGCCAACGTGCCAATCTCAATCTATGTCAAGCAGAATGGACATAAGCAGAATGTCATTTAACATAAATCTGTGCATTTAGTTGCTTTGCAAAGGAGATACCAATGAAATAGAAGTACTGTATTTCCAGTTGCAGGCCTGTACCACACTCTACCACATGAGGGCACTGATGTATGATAACCTCATTAGCCTTTTGGTTATTCTGAAAGAATTTGAACAAGTATAAGTAATTGCAAACCTGGATGAATTTACTAAGAATCTTGATGTTGCTAGTTTGATCTAAGGATTAGTGATACATGTTATATCCAGACTGATGGAATGGAAATCTCCGCCTATTTTTTGTAAGGGTTCTGCATAGTCTTAATCTAGAATCTGGTGAGCGTGGTTCACCGAATAAAACACTCAGGTTTCAGATGGTACTAAATTGGTAACCATATAAACAAGAAAACAGGAGGGAGGTCACGCCAAAACTGCTTCCACAGACCATTAGATTGTTAGCTTCAATGAAAAATCAGCAGTCACCTAGAAGGAGAAATGCCAACCAACTGCATTGAAAAAGTAAACATTTACTTGAAATGGTCAAGTGATCCATTTATACTGCACTTTTAGCAATGAGAAGCCACAACTTATATTAAATTTGTTCTAAACTTGCAGTCAATATGGCTTTAAAGGCATTGATTCAATTTGGAGCTCTGCTAAAACCTGGATGTGGTTTGTAGAGTTGATGTCATGCCATTGGCTGCAGATGATATCCGGTTAAACCATAGCCAATTTCTACAAACTTTTAGACCAATATATTAATTGTCCTGTGGGTCCTGTGTTTTACCATAAGGCACAAGGATTTCTCACAAACAATCGCATTTTTATATATTCTAACTTTAGATTATTAGACATTATCAATGTGCATCGGCAAATACTGTACATGTTCAAACTAACAATAGCAAAATCTCAAATTCAGATTCTAATTCTAAATTCTTTATTTATTTAACTGGTAGTAATAATAAAAATTCGTAAAATAGAGCCTTTCACGTCGGGAGGACATCTGAAAGCTCTTCACAGGACATAAGTGCAATGACTGTATCTTTGGGGCTAGCATGTTGCTCTTTATATTTTTAACTTTTTATTGTTTTGTGTAATTCATTTTCCAATGTTTCCTGTTATCAAATTCCCTCCTGCAGTAGGAAAAATGGGGTGTCTAGGTCTCTCGGCTTTAGTATGTCTTCTGGAATTTAGTTCTATCCTAGCTGCAGCGTATGCTTTGCAAACTTGTAGACTGCATTTACAAATTCTGCTAGTAACACATCAGCACTGTACTATAGTTTACATTCATTCCACTAACAGCCTAGACATTTATTTTGTAGGTTCTTTTCTGTTTCAATACAAATATCAAGTACACACTAAATACTCAACATGTTCCTCAACCAAAACACATTTGGAGGGAATACACCCAACAAGCATAGGAGATCTCCTACTCTGAGTATATTATGCATATTACATACTTAACGGTTGAATAAAGTAATACGTGATGACATAATGTAATAACTTTTCACTGGACGCTGACCTACCTTTAGCAAGCCTCGATTTCTAAACCCTGGGGGCGGTGGTTGTACATATCAATAACATTGAAAATGTTATTGAATATAATAAATGCGTTGATATTAATCATTGTCACCCAGAATGTTTCTGATATTTTTTTTTCTGTCATTTAGGCCACTTCAGCTGTTTGGCTTGGATACTCTTAAGCATGGTGATGGGTTTCCACGTGGGTCAGACATCTGGCTGATCAAAATAAACCTGAGAAGTAATTCATTGTTCAATCATCATCATTACTCTGCATATTACTATATAATACACAAGTTATTTTGTTAATTATATTGTATTAATATAATTATTTCATGCTCATGCTAAAGACTCCAAGAAGCTGCCCTGTGTGAAGGGTGCTATAAGTTGTTGTTGAAGTTCTTAGGTATGGCTTTATTCAACTGCTAAGTATGTAATATGCATAATGTACTGTGAGTTAAAGATCTACTATGCTTGTCACCCACAAAATACACAGTCCCACCATTTTACAAGTGCAAGGAATATTAAATGATTATTATGTTTTTCAAAAACAAACCCATTGACTGTCCATTGCTTCAGTTTTCCATTTGAAGTAGAGAGTAAAGTCTGCTGTGGCTCAGGAAGTGTTAAAATGATGGAGTGGCCCATCAGGAAGTTGGCTGGAAGCAATTGATTTCACCAAAGATTGGTCACATCTGTTAGTAAGTTGGTAAATAGCTCCCAAATTGAATTTTTATAATCTAAAGAAATTACAAAATTAGTTATGCATTCTTATTAGTCAGGTCATCCACATCCAGGAATATGTGCTGAATCAAGGAAACTTGGCTTTCCTTCCAAAACATGTTGGTACAAAATGCAAATGGGCTGTTGTTTTGATCCATGTAGTAGTTAAACTACGTGAAGCACATTATTGTTCATTCCATGACCTCAGATGGATCTGGATGAAGCAGTGGTTTGCAATTCGTGGATTGACTAATAGGAAACAGAGTCCCTAATTGGAATCCTGCAGGCACTGAGTCATTGCTGATTGACGAGATCACTGCAGATGTCCATCACTGTAGATCACCAGGTTACTGAGAGCTGGACTCCCCAGTGGTGAGTCTGTGATAATATTTGTGAATTCTGCTGTAATCGACTGCTTTTTTTCATCTCAATGTACAGTTTATCTATTAATGAAAAAAAATTCAGGGTTTCCTAACCTCCATGTCACAAGGAATTTGATATCACATGACTAGCCATCAGATTAACGTATCTAACAGATTAACAGATTAATGTATTTATTGTTAAAAAAGTAAATCAGCCTTGGCTGGTGTATGTTCAGGCACAGCTAATGGTTATTAGGGAAGAAAGTTGCAGCAGGTGAACGAATGGCTATGGGTAAGTACAGCGACATCTTTTACTTTCACAGAGTAAAACTGTTCATGAAGGGAAATAAAACTAAACATTCATTTTCCTAAGTAAATTTGTCTAAAAATACAAGCAGCTAAATGAAACATATCTCCCTCCATTCATGGTCCAGCATGGGTGTCAGAGCATAAGCAGACAATGACAGCCTTGCTTTCTTGTCCACGTTTACAACAGTGAAAGTCAAATTAGGAAACGTTTGGAAAAATTCTTCCTTGGTCCAATTGAAGCTAAATCTACAATTAAGCTGGATGTTGCTCTTGTTATTGAAACACCATTTAATGCAATTGCATCAATGAACATATGAGATGACAGATTGGCGAGATTCAGCATAATAGGTAAAGGAAGTAAAGCATTTTTGTAAGTGCTGAGGTTAGGTGGTGGATTTTGTCAGCAAATTCAGGAGGGAATTAAATATTTCTGGTGTTTTCCAAGTAATTGGTTGCAAAAGAGATATGCAATGCAGGATTTTTTTTTGAACTCTTGGACAATCCAAATGGACTGCAATTACTTTTTCTGGCCCTTTGCAATCCTATAAATCTATATTGCCATAACTCATTGTAAACGATACAATGCTGTAGATCTGTAGTTTATGATGAATGATGGGGGTTGAGCAATGCTGCACTGAATGAGTTAAATTGGCAGTAATAGGAGAGGTTTATTTTCCATAAAAAGACCTGAACTCTGTCATGTATTCTATTTATATCAGAGATGTACAATAAGTGTATATAAAAACATTGCAAGATTATTTTAGTGTTAATTTGCAGCCCTTTTCTGGGAGCCACAGTGACATGAACCAGTAAAGTGATTCATGTGATGAGTTTATATGATATGGGCCTGTTTGTTTTCTTGAACTCAGTTTCAAGCTGGGGGTAGAAGGTAAGGTTATACTAACCCCTAAGAAAGATCAGGACAATATCATTTTGTAGCTGGATATTTTTGAGGAGATATTTGGAACTTGCAAATACGTTCATTAAACTTTGAAATATAAAGTAAGGATAAATAACTTTCCAAATGTCTTTTTCCGAGAGTTTTTTTGATCTCATGTGCACACAACTATAGTATTAGAGTGTTTGCAGGTTTTTGTTATGTGGTGAATTGTTTGGGTTTTGCTCGTTGTTTATGTGGAAAGTTTCACCAGTCCTTACAGAATTAAGAAATAACTGTTTTCATTGGAAATGGTATTTTATTCTAAGTTCGAGATCCTTTGTAGCAATGCTATAATGTGTGCCTAGGTCCAGGCGATTGGAAAGCACCCCTTAAAATTTTATTTTGCTCATACAGTTTTACCTTCTAACTTCAAGCTCAGTAAAGTTTTGAATCAGTAAGGTTTCAGTAAGTCCGGTAATCTGCGGTATTTGGTTTGGCAGGATTTCTCTGCCAATTCATTTATAAATGAGCTGCTTGACGATTGAATTGCTTATCTTTTGGTTGGTTTGCATTCCCAAGGTTTTCTGCCATCATTTGCATCATATTACTGATTTTTTTAATCGTCTCGTACCCTAAATGTGCTCTATTATATCAACACATTTAGGATTTTGGAGATTTTACACTTTGGTACAAAGGAGTGTCATATTTCAGTGACGGTTTTGGTCATATAGTAGTATTATGCTTCTTGTATGCTGTATGTAGCTATGTTAAGATTTGTACACTGTTAATAAGGTTTCCAGGTTTATATCTGTGAAGAATCGTTGTGTGTCTTTTGATTTTGAACTAATCCTTTGTTGTTCTGCTTTGTATTTGCGAATTTATGTCCATTCTCTCTAGCATAATTAAAATTTGTATGATATGATTTCTTGCCCTGTTTCTTACATCCTGTCTTATTTTATTAGCTCTATATTCAGAAGCATCTTAGTGTGTGTGTGTGTGTATGTGTGTAATATATAGTCTACTTATATGATATGAGGGTCTGTTCATATTGGCATTAATGTGATCAGAAGTCTCAGTCAGTGCTTTTTAAATCAAGCATGCTTTTGTGTTTTTGAATGCTGTCAGATTTATAGTGTGCATTTGATGAGAAATAGCCATGCAGAATATGTTATAAAGGCAGCATCAAATTCAGTTTTTGATGGTTGGGATGTTTTGAAGCAAAATGTTTGTGTGCCCTTTTTGATGTGACAAACGTCATTATTATGTGCTTGGTAACTGGTGTGAAGCAGATCGCTTACAAATGAACTTCTAAGTTTCAAGGGAAGAATAATTCACCATTTCTATGACCAGAACTTAAGTTATAAATTAGTGTGTATGTATAAGTATCTAGTTTAAAAATAAATGACTTCATTTCCTGGTATAATGAACTCACTTCCATCTGTACCTTTTAAGCGAGCAGCTGATTTCTCCTATCCTTCTATAGAGGAAATGTATTCATGATAATGAACATGTCTAATCATTCCCTACAGGCATCTCAAAGAAGTGAAAAGCTCTGTCTTCTTTCAGATGCACAAGTTTAGAATATTCTTGTATTCTCCATGGGATCTGTTGAAATTGTAGAAATTTAAACTTGTTAGTGAGGCTCTCCACCCCTCCCCCAGAGTCTCTTCCCTTCTCTGGAAAACATGATGAGCATGAATCCAGTGATGCTTATTGTGCTAGATCCTGTGCCTGTCAGATGTGGGGTAAAGAACCACTTCAGGAGATACAGTAGTAATAACCACCTTCTCAGAAAACAGCATGGCACCATCTCATACAGTTGTCCTTAATGTCAAGGCTGCCCAAAGGCACGAGGCATATAAGGGATAGAATAGTGGTTATTTTCAATTCTACAAGCTCCAAAGCTTTGGACTGTAACATTTAAATATCTTATCTTTAGTTTATCATGAGGTTCTCTGATCACATTCCAAAGGTAAATTGCCGAAAGCCATTCACTGGGCTCTGAGCCCTGTTCAATGAGAAAAGACTTTAAAATAGATGGTGTAAAATAGTGAGACTACTCAATAGATGAGAATATTGCTGCCATTATAATTTATATTTACTTCTTTCTCTTTCTTCCCAGTTGTAATCATCTTAACCAGTATATTGTGAACCAATATTTAATGTTTGTTGCCTCATGCCTTTTAGCTTATTGTTATCGAAAAATAAATGATCTTCAATACATTTGTGGGTGTGACCTTACCAACAATAATGCGTAATTCTACATGGGAACTTTTTTTTATAAACAAAAGAGTTATCGAGAATCATCCTCCATCCTTCTCTTTCTTAATCTGAGCAAACTGCAAGAACTTAAATTGATATTATGAACAGGGCAAACAGTTAAATTCTCAAATGGTACCCATAGAGAGACCCAAGTTCGATTGTGGAGTCCTGTAGCTCAGTGGTTAGAGCACTTGCTTTGCAAGCAAGACACCTGGGTTCAATTCCAGGCAGAGGGCGAAACCTTGGGCAAGTTTCCTTACTCCACACAGAGCCTAATAATAATCCCTCCAAAAAAAAAACCAAACAATAATAAATTGGTCATTTTCCATCTACGACTGTTTGTGGGACATTGCTGTGCGCAATTGGCTGCCGCGTTCGCCCACAAATATACAGTCAATTCACTTTACAGTATATTCTGTGAAGCGCTTTGGGACGTCCTCCCGACGTGAAAAGCGCTATATCAAATGCAAGGATTATTATTATTATTCCCGGTAGGGTGAAACCTTGGGCAAGTTTCCTTACTCCACATGCCTGATAATAATCCCTCAAACAAAAGCAATAATAAATTGGTCATTCAATCCACGACTGTTTGTGGGACACTGCTGTGAGCAATTGGCTGCCGCATTTCGTTTCGCCCACAAATATACAATCAATTCACTTTACAGTTTATTCTGTGAATCGCAGGCATAGCAGTCACAGGAAGAATCATCTTATTATAATATACCATTACTAAGAGCACACCATTACTAAGAAAGCTAGAAAACTTGTGTTTCGTCACATATTACGCATTTTAGGAGGTTTAAAAGGGAACGGTAAGACAGTAACCGATGACGGGTTGTCTGTGATTCCTGAAGATTATTTATCTATGGAATAAATTTAAATCCATTACCTTAGGTTCATCTTCATAATCATAGTAAGCACTTATAAGTTCTACATTTTCATGATAAGGATCCTGCTGTTGATAATCAAAGCCATCAATCGCATCTACTAAAAGTGGTGTTTGTTTAATTCCCTTTGGTTTCTCGACATTCTTGGTGGGGGCAGCAAAAACCGCCTGAAGGATTAGAAGTCCCAACAATGTATAAGCAAAGGTCTTCATTCTTGAATTCTTGAGGAAATAAATACAGTAGCATAGTTAATGTTTTGATGAATGACTACTCCTTTGCATTCACATTTATAAAGTAATGAAGCCTTATTGTAACCGCCAACAATTCGTGCAGAATGACCATATTATTTGTTCCCTTGTATTTGTGTATCTACATCATTTTCAGTCTCTGCAGAGATTGCAAAGGTTTTTTTTAAGACTGTACAGTTACACTTGATCTAAATCTGTAAACTTTACAGAACAAAGTAATTAGTTCCAATTCAAAAATGCATTCATATGAATATCTGAAGCTTTACTCAGCCGGTGTAGTCTAGCTAGATTTTTTTTAACTGCAGTTATATTGACAGACAGAATTTCAGCTGCAATGAAAGCAGGTCTGTGTATAAAGTGGCTCTAATCATGAGTATATGAAATTCCTCTGGGAGCAGGAGACTGCTGTGCAGTCGACAGTTTTCACACTGGCTTCCTTTTCAGGCCTTTTCGTATAAATTATGCCAAAGAGTAAATGATTAAGACAAGTGTGTTATAGAGAATACAGACAGGTTGTGGAGAAGACAGACAAGTTATGAGAAGCAGAAAAGTTACAGACAAGACAGGTTACAGTGAAGTTTTGTGACCCTGGGTAATATAATATACTGTTGCCAATATATCTACTCTAGTTCATACACTCAACTGGATAAACTACTATGTAAGGGAATGTTATAGTTTGAATCTTTAAGACATTTGTCAAATTTCCATTTTACTTTTTTGATATTTACTGTATGAAATGTAAAGCCAACAATCTGATTTCAAAACTTCATTTTATGCATTGAAGTCTTTGTTTTCTTCATATAACAGAGTATTTGAAAAAAATAAAAATGTGATACATTTAAATGCGAGCAGTTTTTCTCATTTGGTATGCTTCTCAGTATCATCTTTATCTAGGTCCTATTTTACTTGGCTCAGTGAAATCCTTGGCATTCTCTCTGTAAGCTGAAAAGGTAGAACAGCTCCTGCTTTGTTGTCCTATTTCTCATGCATAGACTTTAGCAACAGATTTTCTATCACATAAAGCATGGTCAGTAATCGCTATTGGAGATTAAAACACTTGTGGTTCTAAATAACTCAGTGTGCAAAGCACAAGTCATGAGCATCACACACAAAAATATATGGTATAATTGATTCATTGCTTCATTCTTGCAGATTGGTGCAAGAATTCTGCAGAATGAATGGTTTCATAAAATTAGCAATGCATTTTCAGAATTTAACATAAATGGTTGTTCTGTTACGTTTGTGACGACCCAAAAATGAAGACATTTAAATATTCTAAATTAAACCAAAAGTCTAAATACTTACCCTTAGCTGCTAACTTCTGAAATGGTCCAAAGTAGTCAGACCTTGACCAGTGCTGATGGAATTCTGGGCTGTAAGAGGGAGGTACAATTATGTGTCAGGGGCTGCCTTCAAATAAGGTAGAGCGAGCTGGCGGACTACATGTAGGCTGTGCTGTGTGGCTTTGGAACAAAATGTTTACTTTCGTGTAACTTAATACTGCCTTTGTAAATGTCTCCACAGATAATCCTTTTAAACTATATACACGCTTAATATTTCCACACTATTTGTAGCCTATGCTAATTAAATATTTTCAAAAGTTTATATTTTTTTAACTTTTTTTGATAAAGCTACTTAAAACCAGAATACAACAAACTTTATTTTGCCTTTTGATATCTAACCCAGTATGGTTAGCATGTTGGTGAGTACTAATATTTACACTCTAAGCTATATTATAGCCAAGAAATATTACTAGCTCTCTCAAGAACCCAATATTGGGGTGAAATGTTGAAATGCGTGCAAACTAACATAAGGAATGGGATAAGGACCATTTTGCCCCATTGTTTCTGTGGTATTGTATTACAAAAAATAAAAAAATATTTTACGAATTATTAAATATTAAAAACTTGATTGTTGTGGAATCATTGATGGGCAGAGTGAGAGTAATGGGAATATAGCTATGAACCAACCACACTATTATGTCTCAAATGCTGTATGAATAGAGAGACAAAGACCCTTAATGGTTGCGAGGCTGGGAGAAGACCAAGGTTCAGCCACAGTATTGCGGGATAGAGTTAGGAGAAACAGGTTTTATTTGGATAAATTAATTTTACTTTGGTTTGTGACTTGTTATACATGCCATGATTACGTAAACATCACAAGCTGGTTTCACGCGTTCCTTGTATCTTATCAATGACACCCACTAATTCCAAGAGCCAACAAAAATATAGTATTCCAGTTCACATAAACATAATCACTCTATTATACACATCCATAATGGACTTTCTGAAATGGCCCTTAGCAAGCAGTTATCTGTACTAGGCAGAAACCACCTTTTAGTTGACGTAAATACATGGTTAATGTGGTGTTTTAAAATAACTTTACTTTTTCCACAGATATTTGACAGTTTACTTATTTTCCTGGAATTAGTATGTAAGCATAAAAATGGTTTTGCTGGCAACTGAAAATCGCTTCGTAGCAGTTTACAGCAAAATAGACCTGTTACCCACATACAGATATCAGTGAACCATTGGAATGCTAATTTATTGATAACAATAAATATAGTTAGTTCATCAAAGAAGATGTTGGCAATAGAAGTTTGCCAGGCAGAAGATTGTGTTAGACCACTTGTCTGACAGAGACACCAGATGATCATCTCCATCATCATGTGACCCCCAAATAACAGCAGAACTTTCATCCAGTCATTGGAGTTAATTGGTAATTATGTTTAATAAAATTAACTGGTAAGGAATAGACCTGTGTACTCTATAACTTACTGTATGAGTGTACTGTATGTATTCTTATTGCAGAAAATGACATTCTCAAGAGATCCATGAAACAAATAGTTACAGAGCTTGAGGTTGAATTTATTTTGAAACCTCAGAACTAGTAGAACTGGCTCAGTAAAAGGTACTGAATGTGAAGCCACTGAAAGAACCAGAAAAAGATTTAGTGATGTCTAGAAGTTTGCGAGGCAGAAGATTGTGTTAAACCACTTGTCCGACAGAGACACCAGATGATCATCTCTATCATCATGTGACCCCCAAATAACAGCAGAACTTTTATCCAGTCATTGGAGTTAATTGGTGATTATGTTTGACTTGTTATTGAATTCTGTCTTCTTCTTATATCGATTTATAAGCAGACATAACATTAAATGTTTTCTCCCCTTGAGACAATGCAGTCATAAGTGCACAAATCATGCTTTCATATCTACAAAGATGTAAATAGCATATGACAAACCATGAATGATTCCTCAGAAGGCAGAACATTGTCGTATCAAAGGAAAAGTAAATGTTGAGGGTGTTGAGAATAAGTACCATGGAATCCAATGCAACATTCACACATTACTTATGGGTTCTCCCAGTAATCTAAGCCTCGGCTTAGACCACTCAAATCATGATCAAAATGGATGTTTTGGGACATAGCCTTGATTAGTAAAAAGGGATCTTTGGGATGAGGAGAGTGTGAATGTCCTATGATTCAGATGAACAAAAAATACTGAAATAAATACAAAAACAAAACATTAATTTAGAAGCTACTGAACTAGCTGTAACTTACTTGAGATGTCTGCATTCAATTCAAAGATGGCATTGAAACCTCAATGTGAAACTCTGGAAATGCCACACTGAAGAGGCAGTGACCATTTAATGTTTCACACCAAATACCCCAAATAGCATTCAATAAGTATAGTCAACTTACACCACAGAGTTATCCAACATGGCATGCTTTACTCCATATTCTTATTTGCTGAAGAGAATACAAATTTATGAAATGTACACAGGATAGAGATTATCTCTAATGTTTTCCTAAGAGTACTTTGCTTCTTGCAAAAAATATTTTACAAGCCCCTCCCCCACAAAACGATAACTGCTGAACATGGAAACTTTCTGTCAGATCATTTGCAGTTAATTATTCAGTAAGTTGCTAATACTTGGGTGATTCAAGATCAATCTGTGGGTTAAAAAAAATTCTTGAGAAATGGCAGAACATTAAGGTAGGCAGTCAAACCATTTGAAAATTAAGACAAATTGGGGATTTCTGGACTAATTGCTGTAAGATATGCCAGTGAATGTTTCAGATTTCTATCGTGGCTTTCTGATTTTCTTTTGGAATCTCCCTCAGCATCTTCATTGCATTCCACATTGTAGAATTCTCACAGCTATACTGAGCTGTGCTTATTTTCAAATTCAATGTATTTATAAATAACTTCATACCAAAAGATCAGTTGACAAAAATCTTCCTTGGAATTTTCTTTGGAAATATGGGCTTAAAGCCCATATACACTTGTTCTAAAGTCATACATTCATATGCTGCATTTTCTTCTTCAAAGATATTTCACTTGTTCCCCGAGCATGGTTCCTTAGTAGAAAGTGCTGTTATTCTGCCTAAAGGCAGAAGGAAACAGAAAAAGGCAAATATTTCTTATTTAGAAAATCATTGGGATATTACTGATCTTCGGGAGTGTACACCCCAATTTGAATATACACATATATATTATTTTGCATTTTTAAATATGGAAAACATTGTAGATTTCTTTGTATTTTTCAAAATACCATAATATTTCAAACATCTGCTTGTTTCCTTCTAGCTCTCCCCTGGAATTTTCCTCAGTGTCTGTTTGCATTCCGCATTATATTGCTTCAGTAAGCAGAAGCATGTTCAGTGAGCATTCTGTTGAAGTCTCATCATTTCTGACCCTGGGTAGAGGCTGTGATAATCTAAAGGGTATTGTTAGTTAGCTATTCAAAGGTCAACCATCCTTCCCTGTTAGCTAACAGCCAAAAGGGAAATTTAAGAATATGTCACAAATACCATTGATGTTAAACAGTCTGTACATTAAGTACTAACCTAGAGGGTAACCTCGTACAACTTACTATTTGGCGTGTATAAGCTAGAATGTATAACTGATGGTATGAAGCAGAGAATTTGCAGCATCAGTGTTGATGTAGTTGAGATGATGAACCATCTTCTTTACAGACTGCCATTTCCCTTTTATAGATAACTAGCTGTATCCGTTGCAGCTACGCTTGCAACCAAAGTATTTCAGTGATAGCACTCACAAATCATTTAACATGCCACAAACACTGTGTGTACATCTTAAGCAAAATTGCCACACGTGTGATGAGCTTGTTTAGGTCATAGCTCATCAACGATAGGAGATCCCACAAAAACAATATGCCCTTTTCTGATGACGTATAAATCTATGAGTTACAAATGAGGTAACTAATGATAACAATAATAATAATCCTTCCATTTGATATAGCGCTTTTTCTAGACGTCTCAAAGCGCTTTGCAGAATAGACTATAAAGTGAATTGACTATTTGTGGGCGAAACGCGGCAGCCAATTGTGCATAGCAGTGTCCCAAAAACAGTTGTGGGTTGAGTGACCAAATTATTTTTGTTTTTTTTCTTGAAGTATTATTATCAGGCACGTGGAGTAAAGAGACTTGCCCAAGCTTTCACCCTGCCAGGAATCAAACCCAGGTCACTCGCTTGCGAGGCGAGTGCTCTAACCACTGAGCTACAGGACTCTATAAATAACGTCAGTCAGTTATTGTGTTATTGGTGGACAGACGCACAGTTTGTGAGCTGTGCTGCGATGTTTCTCTCTCTCTCTCTCTCTCTCTCTCAGCTCCTGGTGCTTAGTCAGTCTGAACAGGCCTCAGACTTCACTTCTCCCTCCTGACACAATCATTCACACACACACACATACACACACGCTCATATAACCTTTCCACTCCTCCCTCCCCCAAAAACCCTCTTTCACCTTTATTAGTATAAAGATGGTTCATGTTGGGTTGACATCTCAGAGATTCACCTGACTGGTTAGGGGACAGGAAGCAAGCCAGCCAGTGTTCACTGAAAGGTAGGTTATGAGCTGGAATCTGAAAGTAGTCAGGCAGTCTTGGTGATTGTCACAATGACACATTACGAGGTGCAATATACAGTATGATATTACATGACTGACTCAATGTAATCATATTGCATCCCTACTTTTGATGGGAACATATCCCATATTCTCCTAGGTCATGACCTGTCTGATTATTAAGACAGCAGCGACATGACCCGGGTAGGGGTCACATAAGCTGAATTGTATGATTTAATAAATAGTAGTGCTGTCTCTTTCAAAAGTGGTATTCGCTAATATCCTAATTGACTTCAGTTGGAAAATGATTGTTTTTTCCAGCAACTCTGGGCCAGAGAAAGAAAATTAATGCCGCAGCATTAAACAACAACAACAAGATTCCATTTATAGCGCGCCTTTCACGTCGGGCGGACGTCCCTGCTGGAACATCATGCTATTTTTACTCTAATGATGTATTCTATCTCTTCTCTCCTTATTTTCCAACCAATAATAACAATAACGATCCTTGCATTTGATATAGCACCTTATTTCATGTAGTTTTTTTTTCCATCTCTTACCAACCTTTTTGAAAAATATGATTTTTTTTCCATCTACATTCCCATTTCTAGAGATTGGTGTTACTTGGATCCTTAGATCTCTCTGTACCTCCATTGATTATAACATTTTATCTTTTAGGGTGCATTTCCACACTAGGTTTTTTCCCCTAAAATATGCCATAATATATTTACCTACATTTAAGTTCAGCTGCAACCTATCAATCTTCAGAACAAGGCGCGATTGTGATATTTTATTTAAGATTTTTTTTTTGCATTCTCTTTATCAATATTTTGGGCTCTTCAACTACTGGATGGAAGCTTCATGGGATATGTTACAGCCAAACTTAGTCCCTTTCTCATCTACTCACTAGGTAAACGCGGAGAACCACGGAGCTGAAATTTGGAGATTTCTTCTTATTGAAATGTAATTAAGAACAAACTAAATATAATACTGTATGAAATATTTGTAATCAATAATATTTTAAACTTCAGCCAAAATCATACTTACATGAAGTACACAACTTTTAAAATAAAATTGCTTGACAAGAACCAGCAGAGGTCAGTAAATCATCAATTTGAAAGGAAAATCTGTCAAGCTTTTAAATGAGTTAGTCCTCGAGATTAGGAGATTTCATTGTGAGAGGAAGGATAAGACATTGACTGTGAAAAATCTGAAGGAAAAACCGTTTTCACAAATTTTGGGGATGTTCAATCCCAAATCTATCATTAAGGATAGTTTCCAATTGGTAATGTGTTGTTTAATAACCTTAATAACCCCCAGTGGTATTTAATGGCTGCGAATAAGTTTAGGAATAGCACAATTTCGATCCCATCACTTTTTTTTAAACTTGTCTTGAATTTCCTGACTTGAACTGTGTTACATTTCCATGAGCACCAATCGACATCCAGCACTTCACCCAGTTGTTTTGTGAACCTGGACCACAGTGATTGGCAGCTGTATCTAAACCCTAATGACTAGGCCACTCGCTTCTTACAACAGGCTTGTGCCTGCTTCATGTCCTGCCCCTCCCTGCCCACTCCACCATCAGCGGATGTGCATTCAGCCTAATTGCCCTCACTCTGGACCTCCATCCTCTGACTGACTCCGTTTCGCACCTTGTCCAAAGTCCGTCTCAAGACCTATCTTTTTGACTGTGCCATCAGATACCTTTCCCTTCCCCACCTGCCTCATCTCCCACCCCTAGCTTGGATGTATTGTTAAAACACCGTGGGACGTCCTCCCAACATGAAAGATGCTGTATAAATATCAATTTGTACTGTAAATGTATATTGTGTATGACTGTTGATAATGTAAGAGGTGAGCTTGATCTCAATCAACAGCTATCCCTGAGCTCTTCACATCGGGAGTGGAAACTAATTCAATTTTCCTCTCTCCACTCTGGGTTCCAGAGATAGTCCTAGTTAGGATTAGTTAACTCAGCACTAGGGACTTGAATATGGAGCCTCACAGTCTGTGTGCTCATTTCTACATCAGGGATTTTGTAGTAAAACTAAGGATTAAGAAAGCAGAACACATATGTTTTAGCTGCCAAAATTATTCTGGCAGAGTAAATGTGTGCATTGAAAGGATGAATATATATGTGTGGAGGGAGGGAGGGGGATAAGGGAAAGGGAGGAGGACAGGCTGGCAATGTTGCTATTTTATTGGCTTCAAGCCCTGCTGTGTCTGTTCTGGGAGGAAAAAAATCCATATTTCCATTTTCCATGCTTTGACTTTTTCTCTCCACTTTCACTTTGACTACGAAATATTTAAAGTATCTTTTCACGTAACACTGTAAACAGAATGATTTTCTATGTATGTGTAAAAGCAAGACCGTAAACATTCCAGAGTCATCACTTTATTTAAAATTTAAAAGGTGACGCAAGATTTCTCTTCGGGGGATTACACATGTTTTTTTAGGGAAGAAGATGGATGTGAACCTTTGCCAACAAGTTCTATTTAATAGAGGTGAGGGAAATTATTTGAATCATATTAAAGCCAGCATGTGGGACAATTTATCTTGGCTGGTTGCCTGTTTCCATCAGTGAGGTAATCCAGAAATGAAAATAAGGAACAATTTGCAGTGAAGTAAGATGATACTCTTGGGCATTAAAGTTAGGCAAGTAAGAATTAGTACTATACCCGAGAGGTAGCACTAGTACTGCAGGCAGCTGGCTGGAATATGTTTTAATAGTGCAATTGAAAATCAGAATTGGTTTCTTCATGAACTAAATTATCCTTCCATTTTATATAGTGCTAGTTAACAAAGAGCCAAGGTAACATCGCCTCTACCTGCAATGGTTATTCTTTTTCATTCAAGCTCCTGTATCAAAGTCGCACTGTAAAACCTACCTATTCTGTGATTATCTGTGGATTCTGTTAATTAAAAATCTAGTGGAAAACTTCAGATCGATTCCATCTCTATAATCATAACAGCCTCCGGATTAGACCGGAACTGTGACTTCTCTGTACGAAAGTACTCAATCCTGTCTGTTAATATTGTCTGTGCAGATGCCCGAGCTAAGCAAGACAGTTGGGTAGAACTTGTCCATAACCAGGGGATGGAGTTTTTGACAGTTCCTATTTTATTGGCTTCACAGGTAATTGCTGTACGGTGAAGTGATTTTAGTGAATGGAGCAGTCAGTTTGCACACAGCGCACCCCCATCAACAGCCTTGAATTAAATTTTGATATTAGCTTTTACTTCAGGATCAATATCTGAAATCCCTAAAAGGGTTAATAATCTAGAAGGAACAAAAGACCATTGAGCCCATTCAGCCTTCTCTGTAATCCAGCTCCCGTTTCAGGATCTGACCCAACTAATTTTCTTCCTTTTTCTTCTTTGAACTCAAATGCTCTATCATTATATTGCTGGTGTAAAGTAGCTGCTGTGTTTGCCGACATATACCACAACCTTCCCCTAATGTAATACACAGTCACTGCACTTTTCATCAAATCCTGTGAAATGCTTTGTGAAATGTTTTGAGACATGAAAGATGCTGCATCAAATGCAAGGATTGTTATTGGGACTATTACTCACTTTATTTTGAATTAATCTTACTTTGGTAAAACATAAAGGCACCATATAACACAAGTTGTTATATCAGAACGTATAATGATAGGAATTGGGAACAATTAGTTCCTGCTCTTTATAGGAGAAATTGTGAAGAGGATAAAGATGTTTGTTACGATACGTGTTACAATCCTTTATGTATAGCAATTGAAATGATTAAGAATTGTAAGACAAACAGACATGTATATGATATATTGCTTTATTCTGTGTTTCAAGCAACGTTGTGACATTTTACTGCATCTATTAAAGAACAAAATCATCCGCAGATCTCCATTTATGCCTAAAATCTACAAGCTTCAACAGATCTCTTTGACTTTTTATTGTTATTTCCATGAGTACTAAATCACTCCATTACTCTATTTATCTGAATGGAAATAAATTAAACTCAGCCATTTATTGTACTCAAGGCAATATGCTAGCAACTCTGTAATAACATGCACATTATGTAAGACTATTCCAAAATTATAAGCTTTTAATTATTTTGTGAAACAAGCACACGTCAAATCATATACTCTATTGTGTCACATGGATCTACTTAAACATAAATACTGTGTATTTTTCACCTATTATACCACACAGACTATTCTACTTTTCCTAGGAATCCAAAATGATTGGATTGTTGTACTTGTACTTTTTAAGTAAATGTATAAGAATTATCTGAGTTTAGATAATTTAATTTGATATGCTAATTTGAATTTTTAGCTTTCGCAACTTTTAAGTTGTGACTCCCATAATGGATTCAACTCATTCAACAAATGTGTCTAATACAATCTGAGCATGCATTGGTACTAAGTGTGTAATGTTTTCCTTTGGAATAAGTTTACATCATTACACAGATGTTTACTTTAAAAGGAAATCTTTCAGTCTTGAATTGCAGCATGTATAAATGTACTGATCAATTGATTTAAAAAAAAACTTTCTGAAATGCATGTTCTCTGAACCCTCTCATTAACAATAGCAGATGATTTCAACAAAATTGGAATCAAGGTAGAAATTCATGCTGGGTTTTGCTTTTTTAATGCAGAGTATCAGCAGAAAATATATCACATGGCTAAAACTATGTTATAGTGAAAGGTAAGAAAAACAAACTGTAGAATTATACCCAAAGAAGCTACCTTATCAAAATACCAATAACATCAGTGTGGATGAATTTCTACCCATGCTATTCATGCATCACAATATTCTGCTATTACTATGTCATTTTTTTGTGAGTAAAGCTTTATTTCAAAGCCTCTCTTCCAGCTTAGAAGGTACATAACCAGGAATCATCTCAGACAGCAAGTACAATTGCCAGCAAGACTTGCTTTTTGTTTGATTCTCTCAAGCAGTTTGGTACGCGTGCTTGTATTTTTAAATCACAATTCCAGAGAGAAGCCTAAAACAGATCATGACATTCAGTGGAATAGGTGGTTTAATTCCGTTTCCATCAAGACGGAGGTAGCGAAGGCGAGGCAGGAGTTCCTTTGGGGGGTATTGATCAATGCTGCCGACAGGTGTGGGGCAAATCTGAGTTCCATTAATTCCTGGAAATAAAAAAAATACAAATATTGCATGTTAATTTCTCATTTAAAAAGAAAGCCACCCTTGAATTCACTTTCATTGCCTTTCTGGATTTTCTGGGCTAGCTCACAACTTCATTCATAATGGACCCCACTAAAACAAACATCAATGTATTTGGAACAAGGTTAGAATTACTTTAAAGATATACTCATTTTTAAATTCTATTTATATAGGACAATGGACATGGGAGATATTTTCAAAATATTTAGTTTCATTTGCAGTGATTTCTACGCAATTCTAGATCAAGAGAATTTGAAGAAATTTCATTTTCACAGAGTAGCTTTAGTCAAAATAAATTCAGGACCTCAAAATGTATCCAGTTACCATAAGATTTGAGTACTCTTCATTCCCAGCTCTATAAAACCCTGTTTGAATCTACAGATGTCAACAGGTAGTTCGAGCTAAACTTTTCATGGATTGAAATTTGATCATGTGAGCACTGGGTTGATGAATTGTCCTATTCTGACACAACGCAGATGAAAATGCACAAAGTGATGTGATAATTAGCACATTATGGAACATTCTATCCCTTGCGTGACCTATAAACAACTCCATCCCAACTTGCTTTGGAATTCTTTGCCCCAATCCCTCCATCTTGCACCCTCCTTCAACCTCTTTTAGATCATCACTTAAGACCTTCCTCTTCGACCGTGCTTTCGGTCACCTTCTCCACCCCCCAATCTCAGCGTCAGGCTCAGTCAATGTCAAGCACTCCGAGACACTGCCCCGCATGAAGGGCGCTATATAAATACAAGTTGTGGTTGTTTTTATTCTCTTAGCTATTTGTAAAGGTTTATATTAAACTGAATTACAGGAACCTGGCATAACAATAAGTAAGGCACAACCTGTTATGATTAATATTATTATTATTGCTCATTTAAAAGTACAATTGCAGGTATACTGTTGCAACTCTCAGAAGTGTGACACTTTACATCGACTTGATTCTTACTTTTGATTTGGTTGTGGTCGAGATACAGATGTTCTAATTTGAGGTGGAATGGTGGAAACGCGGTGAGTTGATTGTGAGACAGCTGCAAGTCAAGTATGGATGAAACATTAAACACCGTTTTAGGAATTCCTTGGTCAGAAATCTTGTTGTGGTTTAATCTGACAAATGTTAGTTTAGGCAGGTCGTTGAAATAGTTTTCCGGTAAAGCTTCTATGGAGTTATTGTCCAAGAAGAGTTGTAGAGTTGAAGCAGGGATGCCCTGGGGCATTTTCTTGAGGCCATTTTTTGCCATGTTGAGTTGCACGAGAGTCTCCAATCCTTGGAAGGTGTTTTCTTCAAAAGCAAAATCTCCCAATTTGTTGTGGTGCAAGTCGAGCATGCTAAGATTCTCCAAGTTGCTGAAGGTACCCTTAGGGATCTTGGAGATCTTGTTCCTGGCCAGACGTAACTGTTCCAGACTATTTGGCAAGGGGGATGGTACTTCTTCAAGGTCATTGTCTTCGAGATATAAGTAGAGCAGATTATTCATTTTCTGAAACAGACCTTTGCTGATGTTATGGTTTGAGATCTTATTTTTGTTTAAGTTTATCCATTTAAGTTGACTTGCATTTTTAAAGGAACTTTCAGAAAGTGTTTCAATAAGATTGTTCTGAAGGTACACGTACCAGATCCTTGCTGGAACCACAGGCATTTCTTTGAGTTTCCGACCATCACAATATAGGGCATTGGGAAAGTTAGGTGGACAGAAACATTCTTTAGGACAGTCACGCAGATAGCTGAAATAGTCTGATGCACGTTGACACCATACGCCATTGATTAGGATAAAAGCCACAAGGACAGATTGGACCACAATATTCATATTTGTATGTGTCCTGAAAAAGAAATCAAATATTATTGAAATTTTCTTTACTTTAAATATCAACTTTTTTTAACAATCAATTTACAATCTTTGGACATTTCAATTAACAGTTTAATTTCACCTTTTATAGATTTGTTTGTGCAGCATATCATTAACTAGTTTATATAGCATTTTGTAACAAAAGCAAAAAGAACCAAAACAACTCTTTTGCATAACATTTGATTTTGGTGGCAAATAGGTCAGCTGGTTTAGACCTGGAAAAGACGTTTTGGGGTTTGATTCCGAATGGGTCCCACAACCCATTTGAGATTAAACAAATAGAACCGTGTGCAAAAATATCTCCTTAGAGTGAATAGTAAGTGGTTCCCTGTGGGTTCAAGTGGCTCCATGGTACGTTGAGGCATTTTTGACCAGCCTCAATGGCTTATCAGTAAGTCTTGGAAACGTAGACCACCTCTGTTACCCTATTCTCATTATATTATATGAATGTTGTTTGTTTAAGATATGATAATAAAGAGCAATGAAATTAATGAATACCTTTATGACTGCATTAGCTGTGATATTCATAACATTCACCACTTTTGGACATGTGACAGAAACTTGACAGTGCCCCGATATCAACACATTAACCCTAATGATAGCTTCATTATTCAAACTAAGGCAATATATGAATCATTGTCTTCAATACTGAATTTCATTATCACTGTCTGTACTTACCCGTAATCTTTTCTTAATTGATTCCTTATCTCATTTAAGGCTATTAATCACCTTTATAGTTTCATATGGTCACATATTACTGCAGTAAAACAACATGCACTGATGTAATGCCTTTCACGTGGGTGAATGTATCAAAACAGAAAGCAAATATCATAAGGAATACTTAGCAGGGAGGAAAAAAGGTGTTGATAAAAAGATGTTTGCGAAAAGTGAAATTATTGTTTTTAAGAGGCTTTGGAAGGAAAGGAGAAACAAAGCTGAAGATTGTATGATCACAGGTTTGGCCACTGCTGGTGAGATTGAGTGAGTGAATAAGCATTTGGCATGGCACCTTTCACATTGGGAGGACATTTTAAAGCATTATGAAGTGAATGACCTTCTGGCTCAGAGGCGAGAGTGCTACTAACTGAGTTAGGCTAACACCTGAGTCGGAGCCAGAAGTGAGCAGGTGCTGATGAGAAACCAAACAGTATGGCTTGGAAGTCCTGTAGTTTAGTGGTTAGAGAACTCGCCTCGCAAGCGAAAGGACACGAGTCAGTTTCCTAGCAGGGTGAAATGTTAGGCAAGTTTCCTTACTCCACATTCCTCTGTTTACCTAGCAGTAAGTAGGAACTTGGTTGTTAATTGATTGGCAGTTTGCTTTTCTGGGGATAATAATTCCTTCAAAAAAAAAAAATTTGGTCACCTCAATCCATGCTTGTTTGTGGGACACTGCTGTGCACAATTGGCTGCTACGTTTCGCCCACAAAATATACAGTCTATTCACTGCAAAATACTGCAGATGCTGGAAATCTGAAACAAGGGTTCTGACCAAGGGTTGTGGACCTGAAACATTGACTCACTTTCCTTTCTTCATAGCTGCTGCCTGACCTGCTGAGTTTTCTTAGCAACTATGGTTTTTGTTTCACTTTACAGTATATTCTGTGAAGCACTTCGAGATGTCTCAAAGACACAATAAGGCGCTATATCAAATATCAAATGCAAGGATTATCATGACATCATTTTTGAACAGAAAGAAATACAAAACAGGCTTTTGAGGAATTCTACTTGGTTTTGCCTCCCAGGGAGATTTCCACTGATCATCTTCCATTTCCTCTTGCTGCTAACTCAGTTTTCATTCCAGCAAGTTTCTTTCAAAGCCTTGCACGTGGAACATCTGGAAATACTTCAGAACAATTGAGACCAATGGGGGCAAATATTTGGGAAGAAATTGAGAAAAAGTTGAAACAAAAGCAAAGAAGAAAACAATAATTTGTTATCAAAATGATCATGCCAGCCAAAGGCAGATCCAGAAGACAAAAGAGTGATTCTATTAAAAAGTTCCAGCCCAAATCCTGAAACAAGCGTAAGCTTTCAAAAGAAGCCCACCTGTGGGATGGAAAACTCAAGGGAATCGTCGGAAAAGAGGTACAAATTGGGAATCATAAAAATGTTGCTTCCCAAACCAACAATTGACAATGGTACAGCTGTTCTGGATTAAGGACTGTGGATTTTTTGAATATCCTGAAGAAATTAAATGTTCCAACAGAACAAAGGACATCAAGAGCTCTGAAACGGTGAAATCAGAAAGAAGATCGCTTGCCAGCGTATCATTTCTGTAGACATACAATAAAAACAATGCCTTAAAGCTTGTGTTATTTTTAGTCAGTGAGAATTGGCCAATTGATTAACCAATACGATACAATGGCAGTAGTTATTAAATGTATAACATCTAATACATAATTTAACATTTAAGTGTTATTCAATAATTGATCCTGCTTTTGTTAAAGCTTACGTCAATTGGCTTTACAGTGTATAAGATGTAACCTGGATTTAAATATTGGATTCTGTCAATAACCAATATGTGATCTTCTCTGGGATACAATGGAGTGCATTTCACTTGTGGATTGACAGGACACACTCAGCTCATTATGCCAGCAGGTTTTAATATTTACAAATCCAGGTTGCAACATTGACATATTATACCACTCATTTTTTTTCAATGTTTTGTGTTTTAATTGAGAATTGCAAAATGTAATTGACACATTAATATTGACATTTGACTACTATCTAAGCATAAGAACATAACAAAGGATAGGAGAGAGGCAATTTGGCCCATTTAATGCACTTCTTCCACAGACATACACAATCTGTGCTATTCTCTACTATTAAAGCACATTTATTAATTTCTTAAAGGGAAGTTCAATTAAAAAAATTCCCCAATCTCCCAAAGGAAATCAAGTGAAATTTTAACTGTCGATTTTAACATCTGCAGAATTAAATGAAGACTAGTTGTGCTCTACAGATGACCAATACAGTGCACAGATGTTTTTGTTTATATGTTTAATCACCTTGGACAATAAAATCATCTGGATTACATTTTCTTGGGAGTTTCCCCCCAGCCCAGGATGAAAGAGAAATCTAATAAGTGCCTGTCATGACTGCTTATCAGATGTCTTGGAATAACAGGAACCCTATTGGGAACTATTTCAAACCTTTACTGATCTATCAATATCCAGCTGACTTCTTGGCTGTTCCAGTCAGAATCGCACCTTACTGCTAAATGAACACAGACACAACAAATGATCAATAAAATCATGAAGCAAAGTTCTAATAAATTTCTGTTTCAATCCTTTGTTGATCGACTACTAAGTAACTCGAATCGATTAAGAAGTGAATAGTTAAACTAATTGATAGTTAATATACTGTATAATGTTCAAATGTTTTAATGCTCTACATTTGGGAATAAATGACAGGAAGTGATAATCCTCCCCCTTCCCCAAAACATATCAGGTTTACTGGGTTTACTACACAACGTTTAGGCCATTAACCACCACTCCTTCAGTGGTGGTGTTTGATTTATACCATGTGGTTATCTGTTTGCAATTTTAAAAAGTCAGAAAAATTTGTGTGAAATATTCTTAGCCTTTGTTTGAAATGGAATCGGCAGTGTAAACGAGAGCAGCCTGGTGTTAAATAAATGGTTGTTCAATCCAGCACTCGCCATCAGACTCAGATTTTTGTGGGACATGAAAGAGACAAAGAGAAACAGCATGAGAGATGACAAGTGGTCAGGGTACATTGTGAAGGTCATTCTGTGTATAAAACACAGACATGGGTCTCAGTACAAAGGGCAAGATAATACTTTAAGATGCTTAGGGGCACGATAGCATTTAAGCGAGATGGGAGAAGGCTAGTGCAGTCTATTGAAGTGATGAAAGCGTGGATGATTTCCAGTGGTGGGAGGCTCACTCTTGCACAGTGAGATAATCACAGAGGCAAAGTCCATCACCAATAAAGCTTGCTGCTAAAGTGCAGTATATCAAAAATAACCAGGTTAACATTGAAATGATTTGAATTGATTCATTAGATTTAGGTGATTTATTTATTTTGAAATACAGTACCTGCAAGCAATTAAGCTGCATCACCAAAACCACGATGTAATGCGTAGAATATTCTTTTCTTCAGGTACTTTTGATAAAGGAACCATATTTCAAAATCACCAGTCATATTTTGCACATAATATTAAACGGAAGAAAAATTGTTTTGATACGTGAACTAATTCTGTTCAAAACTGTACTTTGAAGAGCTACCCCATGTGAAGGGTGTTATATAAATACATGTTGTTGTTTGAGCTCTAATTGTCGGCTATAAATTTTGAGCTTCAATATACTTTGGGGTTAAATATAGCTTTGCATTGAACCATACAGGCCAGTTGGTCGCAAGAGCAAATCCTGGTCTGCACTGTGTTATCTTGTAGCCAGGCTGCAATTGGGACCCTTCAGTTGTCCTCAGTGCCTTGGGGTAAGGAAAGGGAAATTAGTTAAGGTTCCTTAACTAATTGCTATCTGGTGACTCCTCCTGGAAATATATACATTTGCAGAGATTGGCTGAGGATAAGTTTGGACTTGGTTGTGATGCCCCCCTTGGTCATAGAGCTAATTGACACTCACTGTACTTGCACATGAATGAAGCTTACTGATGAATAATGGACCTACTTGCCTGAGGTGTAAGTGGCCAACTGGTGCCAGTGGATATGTAACCGAATGGAAGGAAGAATTAGTCAAATACCTTCAGGAGAAGAGGAAGAAAAATAGACAAGAAATATTGAAGGAGGGGGGTTGGGGGGGGAAGTGAAGTTTAAGCACTATTGTGCATCATCCTAGTTATTAAATCTGTTAATCACTGGTGTGTCTGATAAATCTTTCAAAATAAAGAAAAAAAATATTTTCCTGTCATCTCCAGAGTAATTACCAATTTTAAAAAATCTATTTAACCTAAACGACAAGCTGATAAAATATCAACATTCTAGTCAACTAAAGAAACATTAAAAAGTAATCAATGATATCAGTTTCTGATTAATTTAATCATGATCATTTGAACAAACACTAAAGTCAATTGTTAGTATAGTAAATTAACTGTTCATTACAGTTGCCTCTTTAGCACAAATAAACAGTTACTTATGAAACCACTAAATCTTTCATTATTATCAAGGTATGGAGGCGACTCATACCATGGTGATATACTTGGACATTATGGAGGCTGATTTCTGTAATAAATATCCTGAAACATCTGATTCATGCTAAAAAAGTGCAAAACAATTTACCTTGGATTCCAGAAGTGTAGCTCTAGCCTCCTTTAGATAGTTGTGGCTTGTGAGAAATTATCCCAATGAGGAAACTTTGGCTCCTTTCAGATTGTTTCATCCAATCTTATGTTTTTCCGGCTCAACAGCAGTTAAGACGACAAAGAACTCCCTTTGGTGCCAAAAGATAAATGCCCAACCTACAATATTTTAACCTCTGCTGTTAAATGTACAGCAGACCATAATCTGTCAATACACTTTCTGTCCAGGCTTCCAGCTTTCTGCAGGGTCCACTATTACACTGTACCAGATTGGCTGAGATAGCATGCTGTGTTTTATTAAGGCAGGCTATTATATACACTGATTAGTGGAATAACTTTTTTTAACCCTAAAATAACAGACACCTAACGTTCGAGGCTCGAGGGTCAAGATCAGAAATATGAAACAGCTGTTTGGGATTCTTTTAATCTTTCAATATAAACCTTTATATAATGTCAAACGTGATAAGACTACGTTAGGACAAGGTTAATGCAAAACGTAACCACTTGAAAAGGTTGTAATTTAAAATAAAACATATGAAATGAATACAATAGCTACAAAGAGAACTTTAATTAATTTTATTCAGCAATAACATTCCATAACATAAGTTACATTACTGAACAACATGAAAAACAATCCCAGCTGCTTTTTTGTGAATTCTCCTTATTTGAGTCGTGTACAAACCAGATCCAGGAATTGTATTTAAAGTACCACATCTGATCATTTATTAAGTCATCCTACTAGTGCTACTTCTGTTTGGATCGTGCTAAGGTTTTTACTTCAGTAAATGTATGCATGAGGAGTATACACTGCAGGGACTAAATGTAACACTCGGGAACAAATCTGGTTAAGATTTTTCAACATTCTGCATATCAAATGGTTTCCATTTACAATAATGTAAAAGGCATACTGGTAACAAATTCTATATGTTTCTAGTTATGGTCAAATATTTTGAAGTAATATTTTGTCTTATTTCTATTTAAGAAAGCATTTATTACCTTTCAAATCAGAATGGGGCTCATGAATCCATTCATTGCATGAGTAGGACCATTCTGATTGTAGACTAGTCATAAGAACGTTGTCAAAATATGTTCTGTTCCTATTTAATGTGTAAAGGTGGCACTGATGTGACCAGTGAGCTTGTTTTTTGCTGCACATTTCCATCTTCCATTGCATGATGTCGACATAGGCAAATATTTCAGTCTGTGAACTTACAAATAAATTTTTTTGGACTGTTGAAAAAATCATAAAATACAAGCAGAGCACCACAGGGGGCAATAATTGGAGAGTTTCTTTGGTATCCAACTGTGTGTGTTTTAATTCTTTTGAATCATGTTTATGCTGGTTTAAGAAAGAGCATCACAAATGGCACAAAGTGAATTAATGTTGAGTTTTCAACCAACATTTGTGCCAATTTTGAGCTCCTCAAAAACCTATGTTAAAACTGGAAAACAAATGTTAAATGTTAAAACCGTGGTGAAACTTTAGAAACCTTCGAAGCCTATGGCAATGGATTAACATTGATTCCAGCCGTGATATGATTTAGATTTGGAACCAGTCATCAGCTGCCACGTTTTCAGTTCACTTTGGAAATGCCCTGTAGATTGAAAGTTATTAACTTCGTTGTTATATTTAGGATTTTTGGTTGCCCCAAAAGAAGGCTCCCCAGGCTCCAAAGGCAATGCAGAGTGGAGCAGCTAAGATGATCCTCAATGTTAAAGGAATGAGCTACGAGCAATGGTTTGACAAGCTGGGGCTCTTCATTTTTGAAAGGAAGTATTTCAGGGGGATATTAGAAGAGCTATGCAGCATTTTAAATGGGATCGAAAGGTAAACAACAACTTGCATTTATATAGCATCATCCACTCAGGATAGCATCTCAGAGCGCTTTAACCTACACAATACTTGAGGGTGCAGCAAGACAGGAGAAGAGGAGGGGCATGGGTTTACAATTGCAAAAAGGCAATTTCAGGGTAAATACCAGAAAGTATTTCTATACCCTAAGAATAATTAATGACTGGAACAGGTTGCCATGAAGATTGGTTGAGGCCAGGAAACATTTAAAAGAACAAAGGCTTTGTGTTGTGATGAGAAGCCATCAGGGAAGGATGAGATCAGATGGACCAAATGCCTTTTAATTGCAAATTAATCTTGTGATCTTGTGACTCTGGTGGAAACAGCTCTGCCTCCCTCATGTCACCATGTTACAACAACAACAACAACAACTTGGATTTATATAGAGCCCTCCACGCCGGACAGCATCTCAGAGCGCTTCATTACCTACAGAGAGGGAGATTTTATTTTCCTCTGCCATTAGATCCACTACCACTAGGCACCATTTTGTGTGGCATGGTTACATGCTCATGTATGTGTCATAACTCAATCAATTTACTTGAGAGAGTCTACTGCCATGATTAACCCAAATTCACATTGATGAAGAAGCTTGAACACATGCATGACATTGAGATATCAGTTCATTGATACCACATTGACTAAGTAGTCATTTTGTTATGAATCTTTCTCCATGCATGATTCATATATAATCTAAAATTTAATTTTGGGCCATATAAATGCAGAATAATTCCAGACGTCTAATATACCAGAACAACAATAATTACACTGCATTTCAGCCATAACTCTGTCACTTCTATGCTACAGAGCAACATTTTGTACTGCCTCAACTATACACAGTAGAATAGTTTAAAAATGAACATTCATATGTTATGAAAGGCTTGATCAGCTAATCTTGTTCTCATAAGAAAAAAAAGGAGAACTTGTTCTGATCTTTGAATCACTTAGAGGCATGGATTTGATGGACATAAGCAAGCAATTTGACTTAGGTAGCGAGACCAGTACTGGTGGGGATACATTTAAATTAATATGCCTCTGGCAGAACTAGAGATTAGAAGACTTTGTTTCGTATAAGGCAGTGAATATGTGGAACAGATTCTCAACAAACGTGGTGATTGCTGTTTTGAGGTCCTACAAAATGGAACTGTATATATCCGCTTAGAACAATAGTGGAGGATATTTGGAAATGTACAATCCAAGGCGAACAAATATTCTCGCAATATCCTCGCGGATGGGGAAGTTATTGTTTGTGGAGAACAGGATGCTAATTTAAACAGTGGACTTTCGTTTGTCCTTTTCATGGACTTTCTTTTCAGCCAAGTATTTAACATGTATAAAAACCCATCACTCTGTTTTTAAGAGCTTCAAAATCTACTGGGAGTATCACATGTTTTATGGTTTCTATTTCTGTGAAATCTCTCCTCAGAGAAAAATATCCCGTTTACCTATTCCTAGAGAATTTGGGTACAGGTTGACAAGAGCCAAGAATTGGGATGCATTTGAGGTACTTTGGAAGTTTAACCAGCTGAAAGAGTGTAGCCTACCATCGTGGAGCACTTGTGCGATTCCTGTTGCTTATGCAGTTAGGACCGTCGTATCCGTTAAGATAATCAGGAGCCAAAAGAAAAGACTCTCAGCCCTCAGTAATTGGGCTGCTACTCTGTGCCCTGCAAGATTTAACGGCAATCAACAACAACTTGCACTTATAAGTGCCCTCCATGCATGCTAGCGTCTCAGAGCCTTTAACAGTGGCGGAGCCTGACTCCGAGGTGTGGGGGGTGGGATGTGACCATAGACACAGTTGAAAAGGAAAGTTTTCAGCTGGGATTTAAAAAAGGGGAAAGATCAATACCCCTTTGAGACTTAGTTCTAGGTTCAGATTGCTACTATCCTCATTTACTTCTGGTGAGAAAATAAGCAATTATGTTGGTCATAGATACTGAAATTTACAGTAAAATTGTTGTTTATGTGTTGGGATAAATGCAGGTTCAAATTTTATAGTATGGACTAAAATTAAGCTTTTTAAATGGAATACCCTTTTGTGGTTTAGAGAAATCTGTTTTCCATTACTTCTTGTAAATGGCTGTGCTTTTCTTTAAAACTGTACACTTTTGGAGAACACTGTTAAGTACACTGAATGTCAATTATATATATTTTATTGTTTAGTGAACAATCAAAATCAGTTGCTAGTTATTGCTGCATTTGTAATTCTGTGCAAAAACTGCTTAAAATTAACGCGTCCTCATTTAGTTCCTAAACTTTCATATCCAAGCTTTCATAGCTAGTTTTACTTACAATTTAGTCATTTACTGGTGACAATGAATAATAACCCTTGCATTTGATATAGCGCCTCATCAAGACATCTCGAAGCACTTCACAGAATGCACAGATTAAAGTGCTGAGTCCAGTTATCATTTCTTGTGTTTATGTTTTGCCATTTCTCAAAGAGAAATTACAACTTTCGTGCAAAAATAGAAATCAACATATGGTTATACATCATGAAGTATTCGGGAGAATGAAAAATAGCTTGTTCCTAAGAATGTTGACTGAGAAAAGGCTGGGCTGAGCATCATTGGCTCATGTAATGATGGTATATCTTCTGTGACTGGAATCCCTTAGGTGGTATTATGGTACGATATGTTGTGTGAAGCAATCTTGCAAAACGACCAGAGGAAGAGGGTGAACAACTTCTGCTGGACTTTCAGCTCATAGTGTATGCTGACATTACAATGCTTGGAGCAAAGCAACGGATTTACACTTCCGGTTCCACATTCCATTGCATTATAATGTGGAAGAAAATCTAGGAGTTCTGCACATGCTTACCTCAGCACATACGCAAAGCCCTCGAAGTGGATGTTAGCTTTTGTAATGCTATTAATGAGTCCATCGCGTGATCAATTCTTTAATAATATAAAAAAATGGTCCACTGAAAGTTTGTAAATTATCCAATGTATCACTCGAGGACTTTCAATGGAACACTGGAGGAGGGAGCTGAGTGTGACTTGCACCCAGTGTATTTATATTGTATTACAGTGGGGAGAATCAAACTGTGTGAAGAGTTTAAAACGACAGGTGCTTGTAGCACAATTCCAGTTTTGGCAGACTGATCATAGCAAAGAAACAGACATTTTCTACACTGACAGAGGTTTTTGGCTGTAC